CTTTTTTTCCTTCTCTCTCCCTCTTCTCCTTCTTCCCCTCTCTCTCCTCTTCTCCCTCTCATCTCTCTCTCGCTCTGCCCTAACACCTCACTTCCCCCTCTACCCACTATTTCCCATACGCTAGCTTCACCCTACCTCTAGGCCTTGGCCGTACTGACCTCAAATACAAGAAGTAAGGCTACTTAATCGCACAACATCCAATTTAATCTTGAGTGAATTTGGGGGGGGGAGGATGGGGTTATGTTTTTTATATTTTTTAGTACTTGTAAACATCATACTACATTGTACAATCTGCCAGCTGTGCTTATAATCCGCAATAAAAACTATTTGCAAATTTAGTCCAATGTTTTTCAGGGACACAGTGATAGGGACCTCCTTGCATCATAGCTTATACAAAGAGCCTTGGATGTTATGGTGCTTAGGAAAAAATCTGTACTTGTCACAATTTCACATTAAGCACACAGTACAAGACTAACTGTATTTACCCTCCTTAATACAAATAATAGTTATACATCATCCTACCACCTTCACACTTTTCTGTAATATCGTGAGAGAGATTCACTGTCTCCTAATTAGAAGATCTCTGGTAGGATACCTTTCTTATCAATTGAAGACACATCTCTATGAATTGCTGCTAAACTAATGAACAGGTGAAAGGACTGGCACCATAGAGGCAATTTTCTATTTTATAGGATGCCTCTCAAGTGCCCTGACTCCGTGAGACAGTCACAGTTTTCCCACTGTTCCACTGTCCCCAGTTTTCACTGTATGCCATTCATACTAGAGCTGGTATTAGCTCTTAAAAACATGAATAGGATTACATAGGATCTACAAATTATTAGGATTCGAAACTGTTGTAATATACTACACCATTTGGTTGTTTCTCTGTTTTTTGTATTTTATACGGACCCCCAGCAAAGTTTACGGTCTGATCATTTCCCAGAGCATAACACTACCTCCACGGCCCTCCCCCCCAAGCTTTCTCCTGATCAGAAAAGAATCTGGATGCTGTTTCTACAAGTTTACTTTTATTTGGACTTTTCTAGTATTAATACTCCTTGAAAGTCTCTCTCTGACTATTGGATCTGTTTTACTGCTTTATCTGTTTCATATTAACATCTTATCTGACACAACCTTCTGTTCTTTTTTGTTTTACTACTTTTAACAAAAAAATGCCTGGAAAGCCACAGGATAGCTCACAGGAGAGTTTACCAGAGAGCCAAATGAGCCCAGCTGTTTCAGAGGGACCAATGGAGGCTTCAATGGAGGAGGAGGGTCTGGATATTTGCTCCTTACATCCCCTGCTGCTGCAATTACCATCTAGAGATGATTTAGGAGGTATGATGGTGAGATTAGAGGCAATCTTGAGGGACAAGTTACAGTTGCATACATTTATAACACAATTGGGACTTTAGAGGAGGAAGGGAAATATATGACAGGAGGAGAGGGGAGAGGAGGGGAGGGGAATAACAATTCTTCAGTATTTTTATATATCTTTACCACACACACACACACACACACACATAGCACCCCTACCCCCACATACACAGCACTCCTCCCCCCACACACACACTCCTCCTCTACGCCTACACAACACCCCTTCCCTCCCACAGCTCTCCTCCCACACAGCACCCCTACCCCGCACACACAACACCCCATCACACACACACAGCACCCCCACCCATCACACAGCACCCCTCCCCCACACACACTCACAGCATGCACACACACACACACACACAGCACTCTCCCCCCACACACACACACTGCACTCTCCCCCCCTCACACACACACACAGCACTCTCCTCCCTCCACACACACACATCACTCTCCCCCTCCACACAGCACCCCTATACACACACACACAGTTCCACCCCACACACACACATCTACCATACACACAGCACCCCTCGCCCCCCCACACACAGCACTTTTCTCACACAGCACCCCTCAGAAACACACACACATTCCACACTGCACCCCAGTGCAGTATGTGTGTGTGTATGTATTCGCAGTCTGGGTATACTCGGCGTTCTGTGTATGTGTATTCAGCAACTTTTGTGTGTATTTAGAGGACTGTGTGCGTGTATTCAGCAGACTGTGTGTGTGTATTGCATTTGTTGGAGATACTAATAAATGCTTAATTTTATCTATTAAGTATTATAATTAATGAAATGCATAAATGCTCTGCTGATGTATGTTTTATTCAGAAGACCCACCTTAGAGAATGTTCAGTCCCAATGTTATATTCCAAATACATCTTGCAGGCATATGATAGTAATTATCAAAAAGGGAAATCTAGAGGGTGTGATCCTTGTTTGCCAGTTGCATGATCCTCTAGGGCAGGGTTAGGCAACATATGGCACGTGTTCCATGCACTGCATTCAAGGTGTCTTTGCACCGCACTCAAGGCTGCAAGAGCAAAACAGACTATGGCCTATCAGGAGTCCCAGTGAAACTTCAGATACGTGCTAATACGCAAAGGTGGTGAAGGACAATCCTCAATTTATGCATTGCAACACGTAGAGGAACTGATCTCAGATCACTTCCTCCCAGCACTTGTGAATGGGAATCCACACTGGAGTAGAGCAGCCTGCAGCTCCTGTCCTTGACCTGTACCTGGCCAGCCTGATCCACTGGAACCGAGGGAAGCCACCCACATTGCTAGATATACACAGAAATGCAGAATAACCCTCCCCTCATACAAATAATACGAACAGCTCACACACAAACATACACACAATCCCCACAAACACAACACCACTAACAATCCACACTACCCCACATGCAGCCTCTCACATACAATGTGATATTTCCATCCACACAATTCCACAAGCAGCCCCTATATACAGCCCACATTCATATGTGACAGAACAACAGGTGATAAACCGCACCAAACAGAACTGAAAAAATGACATGGGTATACTCAATCTTAACAATACCACAATAGTGTGTAATAAGTTATATAAATACGTACTCTCTCTGGAGTAAAGTTATTTTGTATTTTGGTACCAGGAAAACCTCAAAATAAAGCAGAAATGCAACAAACAATAGTGTACTGTCTTAATAGTTTAACAGACAGTTAAGTATATAGGTGTCTCACTCACACTTTTATGAGCTACTGGGAGCTCTGCTGTTTAGCGCTTTGACAGTACAATCCCTGTTTTAAGATATTTGTAGATCCTCAATTTAATGTGTCCAGTATGACTCCAGCATATAAAATAAAGCAATAGTATAATATGTTCAATTATATAAGGTGCACAGAAGCAAAGTGTCCTATAAACTTGATCTGGTGATGTAAAGCCTTGGTATAATCCCCACCCAGGGATGTGCAGAAACCAGGATAGTTCTTCAGCAGCAAAACAACAAATTGGATATGATGTTGTAGACAATGATTATATATATATATATATATATATATATATATATATTAGTTAAAAGTAATATTACAAGTAAACAAAATACAAGAAAAAAATATATAAATAAACTTCTCTAAGGCCACACTTTACATGTTTCTCCCAGCAGGGCTTCCTTAGAAGTGTCCACATTCATATGTATCATACACAATACCACAAACTACTCATGAACATATACAATACTAGAAAAGTTATAATTTCTGGGGAAATTGTGTGAAGTGTTCTTGCCTCCAACGGTAGTCTACAACTGGAGTGGGCGGAGTATCTGTTATTATTAATTTATATAGCACATTTAATTGCAACGTTATTGCCCAAAGTGCTTCACAGTTACATTAAAACATACATTTATAAAAATATTAGCAGGTGTACAAAAGGCCCTGTCTATGACATCACTTGCTGCTCCAGCCTGGCACAGGTCAGGGTATTTTGGCGGTTCCCATCTTCAAACGGTCGTATTTTAAAAACTATACATCCTACAGCGAAGAGCTTTATATTGTGAGAATCACAAGACCCAGACCTCGCAGTTTAGAAATTTCCCTTCATGTTTGAGCTGGCTAGAGTGCAGTTTCAATGAATGTCAATGGACGGCATGAGTTGCAAACAAATGGTCATATTGTGAAAACTATGTTAAGGACTATGGCTTAGCCATCGACATGTTTAGTGGCAGCAGGGATAGCTTAACGTTTTGATATAAGATTTGTGTAGGTGGGCTTGAAAATGAGGGAGTGGTGGCAGTTTAGAAATCATGTCCTGATTTTTCAGCTTTTGCCAGCTCCCACTCTAGTTTTGAACATTTTGCTATTCATTCCTATGGGACCAATTTCACAACAGGAACGACGATATTCCGTGAACCATTCGGTGAAACGTTCCACAAAGTAATAGCACACCAATCGGGAACAATCCGCAGGTTTCGGTATATTACGGTCTATGTAGTGTAAAAACTGTGGAAGGAGTTAGGGTGGTAAATTTGGCTATAATAAGAATAATAATAACTAGAAAAGCTACAATTTCTGGGGAAATTGTGTGAAGTGTTCTTGCCTCCACCAGTAGTCTACAACTGGAGTGGGCGGAGTAACTGTTGTCATTTATATAGCACATTTAATTGCAACGTTGTTGCACAGTTACATTAAACCATACATTTATAAAAACATTAGCAGGTGTTCAAAAGGCCCTGTCTATGACATCACTTGCTGCTCCAGCATGGCACAGGTCAGAGTATTTTGACGGTTGCCATCTTCAAACGGTCGTATTTTAAAAACTATAAATCCTACAGCGAAGAGCTTTATATTGTGAGAATCACAAGACCCAGACCTACATTTTGATGCATAGTATGTCTCTGAAGTTGTACAAATGAAGGCACAGTCGCAGTTTAGAAATTGCACTTCAAATTTTAGCTTTGTAGAGTGAAGTTTCAATGAATGTCAATGGGCGGCGTTAGTTGCAAACAAATGATTATATTGTGAAAACTATCAGGACTATGGCTTAGCCGTTGACATGTTTAGTGGCAGCAGGGATAGCTGAACGTTTTGATATAAGATTTGTGTAGGTGGGCCTGAAAATAAGGGAGTGGTGGCAGTTTAGAAATCATGTCCTGATTTTGACAGCTCGCACTCTAGCTTTTCCATTCATTCCTATGGGCCAAATTTCGCCACAAGAACGACGATATTCCGTGAACCATTCGGCGAAACGTTCCACAAAGTAATAGCAATCCGATCGGGAACAATCTGCACGTTTTGGTAAATTTTTGTCTATGTAGTGTAAAAACTGTGGAAATTTGGCTATAATAAGAATAAGAATAAGAATATATATGTGAGCTAACAATAAGTGGTCTTGCTATGCAAGAACACTTAATAATATATATGTGAGATAACATTAAGTGGTCTTGCTATGCAAGAACACTTAATATCATTAAGTGGTCTTGCTATGCAAGAACACTTAAATATGTGAGATAACATTAAGTGGTCTTGCTATGCAAGAACACTTAATAACAGCTCATATACACACAAATACAATGATAGAAAGCAACTGCAGTGCAACACAAGCAGAATATGGCAACATGCACACTTCAATTTAAAAAAGTAGGACTGGCACGCTACAGGACATCAAAATCATAGGCGTGTGCACTGGGTGTGCCGGGTGTGCCTGGGCACACCCTAATCCCTGCGGCACACCTATGGAGTGAGACCGGCAGGGGAGATCTCAGGATCTCCCTTGTCGGCTCATGCAGAACCGGCGCTATCCGAGCGCCGGCTTTGCTCTAAGCCTCCCTCCCCACAGGAACATGGAGGGAGGCAGGAGAGGACCCGGGGAGCTCAACCAGCAGCTCCGCCGGGTTCCTCTCGCGAGTTCTGAGCGTTGCCGCGGTAACGCTCAGATCTCACGAGAGTGAACTCTAGCCTCACAGGGGCTAGAGTTCACTCTCCACTAGACCACCAGGGAAAGCATAGAAACATAGAATGTGACTGCAGATGAGAATCATTTGGCCCATCTAGTCTGCCCAATTTTCTAAATACTTTCATTAGTCCCTGGCCTTATCTTATAGTTAGGATAGCCTTATGCCTATCCCACGCATGCTTAAACTCCTTTACTGTGTTAACCTCTACCACTTCAGCTGGAAGGCTATTCCATGCATCCACTACCCTCTCAGTAAAGTAATACTTCCTGATATTATTTTTAAACCTTTGTCCCTCTAATTTAAGACTATGTCCTCTTGTTGTGGTAGTTTTTCTTCTTTTAAATATAGTCTCCTCCTTTACTGTGTTGATTCCCTTTATGTAATTAAATGTTTCTATCATATCCCCCCTGTCTCGTCTTTCCTCCAAGCTATACATGTTAAGATCCTTTAAACTTTCCTGGTACGTTTTATCCCGCAATCCATGAACCAGTTTAGTAGCCCTTCTCTGAACCCTCTCTAAGGTATCAATATCCTTCTGAAAATACGGTCTCCAGTACTGTGTACAATACTCCAAGTGAGGTCTCACCAGTGTTCTGTACAATGGCATGAGCACTTCCCTCTTTCTACTGCTAATACCTCTCCCTATACAACCAAGCATTCTGCTAGCATTTCCTGCTGCTCTATTACATTGTCTGCCTACCTTTAAGTCATCAGAAATAATCACCCCTAAATCCCTTTCCTCATATGTTGAGGTTAGGACTATCAAATATTCTGTACTCTGCCCTTGGGTTTTTACGTCCAAGATGCATTATCTTGCACTTATCCACATTAAATGTCAGTTGCCACAATTCTGACCATTTTTCTAGTTTACCTAAATCATTTGCCATTTGGCTTATCCCTCCTGGGACATCAACCCTGTTACATATCTTAGTATCATCAGCAAAAAGACATACCTTACCATCAAGACCTTCTGCAATATCACTAATAAAAATATTAAAGAGAATGGGTCCAAGTACAGATCCCTGAGGTACCCCACTGGTGACAAGTCCAAGCTTTGAATATATTCCATTAACTACAACCCTCTGTTGGCTGTCACTCAGCCACTGCCTTACCCATTCAACAATATTGAAATCCAAACTTAAAGATTGCAGTTTATTGATAAGCCTTCTATGTGCAACATTGTCAAAAGCCTTACTGAAATCTTGGTAAGTAATGTCTACTGCACCACCCTGATCTATAATTTTAGTTACCTAATCAAAAAAATATATAAGATTAGTTTGGCATGATCTCCCTGAAGTAAACCCATGTTGTCTCTGATCTTGAAATCCATGTGTTTTTAGATGTTCATCAATCCTATCCTTTAACATGGTTTCCATCACTTTCCCCACCACTGAAGTAAGGCTTACATGCCTATAGTTGCCCGACTCCTCGCTATTACCTTTCTTGTGAATGGGCACAACATTCGCTAACTTCCAATCTTCTGGGATTACTCCTGTTAACAATGATTGGTTAAATAAATCTGTTAATGGTTTTGATGGTATACAACTAAGCTATTTTAATAGCTTTTGGTGTTTTCCATCAGGCCCTATTGACTTATTTGTCTTTACTTTTGACAGTTGAAATAGAACCTCTTCCTCTGTAAACGCACGTGTAATAAGTTACTCATTTATCCTTTTTCTTAACTGAGGTCCCTTTCCTTCATTTTCATCTGTAAATACAGAACAAAAATATTCATTGAGGTAGTCAGCTAGACCTTTATCCTCTTCTACATACCTTCCTTCTTTTGTTTTTAATCTAACTGTAATGGATAGCCTGGCACCCCGACTGGGTACCTCCGTTGAAGGATGCTCCTAGCGATTCCTGAGGACTCCAAGCACTCTGGCAGACACCACAATCACCGAACCGGAGAAACAAATAAATTCTCCCAAGCATATGAATGATGTAGACAGTTGAATAGGAAACCATACGAATAGGTTTACCCTCCTAGCAGTCAAACTGGAACAGCATACAATAAATCCTCCCCCAATAATGAGACGACACTTCACTTTGAGGGTTAAGCAGGAACTCACTGGACTGGCACATACAGCCTCTTTTATTCCCAATCCACAAATTTAGTACTGCCCACAGGGTTTTACATAACAACCAATAACACACGTACATTACAGAAAGACACTCCCACACAAAATCCTCCCCTCTGGCTGTGATATGATTACTGAACACAATGGGTAATCTAATTATCACAGCCAGAGAAATACAGTTTCATAAACACATCACAGGGACCCCAAAACATGCAATAACCCCATAAAAAGTATATCCTTGGAACTGGGGGGTCTGGGTGAACCACATATTCAAAATTCACCCAGATCCGTTCAGTACTTTGGAAAATACAGTTTAATGCAGATTCTGCAGAACATATACAGGCTAAATAAAAAAACAATCACTGTATAATGTGTCCCCTGCTGTATAGTCTAAAACCACTGCACAATGTCTCTGTGCACCAAATACTGGCGAGATGGCACCGTGTTGAAAAGTCCAAACAGTGTCTGTGAGTTAAAATGGCCCCATTCATTGTTCTCACCATGTGCTTCTGATACAGGAAATGGTGGCCACCCAGTAACTCCACAGTATGTCCCCAGATGGTTCTTAAAAGGGCCAGCAGCAGCACAACACAAATCCATTATGCCCAAATCAAGTCTTTAAAGGGCAATACATCGCAGGGGCCATAGTCACATGGCAGGAGGCTGGCAACCAGGCTTCTCCAGTGCATAGTGGCGAGGTTGGTTCCGCCACACTAATTAATCCTTGTTTTACTTTTCTTTTCTCATTTATGTATCTTAAAAAAAGTTTTGTCCCCCTTTTTTACTGACTGTGCTATTTTCTCTTCTGTGTGTGATTTGGAAGCTCTTATAACTTGCTTAGCCTCTTTTTGCCTAATCTTATATATCATTCTGTCTTCCTCACTCTGGTTTTTTTTTATAATTACTAAATGCTAACTTTAGTTTTTAACTATTTTGGCCACATCTGCGGAGTACCACAGTGGTTTCTTGAATTTTTTGCTTTTACTGACAAGCCTAATGCAATTTTCTGTTGCCTTCAATAGTGCAACTTTTAAATAATCCCATTTCTCTTGGACTCCATTTAAATTGCTCTAGTCTGATAATGACTCCTCTACAAATATTCTCATTTTAGAAAAGTCTGTTTTTCTAAAGTCTAAAACTTTTGTTTTTGTGTGGTGTGACTCAGTCACTGTTCTTATATTAAACCACACTGACTGATGATCGCTGGATCCTAAACCTTCACCTACAGTAATATCTGATACCAAATCTCCATTTGTTAACACTAAATCTAGTATGGCCTCTTCACGAGTTGGCTCCTCAACAACTTGTTTTAGAGATGTAACGGAGCTCCCTGTACTCCGACCGAGTACCCTCCGTTGATGGATGGTCCTAGCGCTTCCTGAGGACTCCAAACACTGCAGCAGACACCACAACCACCGCAGACTTCACAACCGCCGTAGCTTAACTGGAGTCTCGCCATCTTCCTTCCACCCTGGATCAGCTTCTGTCCTCCAGGACCGTGTGGGGAAGACCTCTCCTCCAGGAGAGCGTAACAGGAACAGCTCTTAAAAGAGCTAAGTGATTAAAAGCTCAGGGAGTATGCAGAGCATAGCAATCCCCAGTGTGATATAGCAGTTCCCTCCAATAACGAGACAAGGCTACGTATTGAGGGTCAAGAAGATCTGATGTTTAATGGCACACACTCTGCTTTTATGAGATTCTGCCCATGCAAGGGAGACACCCACATAATTAGCAGTATAACCTATCGGAACAATATACATTCGGGGAAATTCCCATCCCTCAGATAATCACATAACATAATTAAAACAGAACAGTAAAAATACAGTTTTTATACATGTACTATAACTTCCAAACTACACATCCAATCTTCATAAAAATTACATATTTGGAATCAATCCATTAAGGGGAGCAACATATTAAAAATGGCACAAATCAGACAAGGGGTTCAAAAGTTAGCAAAAGTGTCTTTTGGGGCCTGGCTGGCAGCATGGTTTTCTGGCCCAAACCGGTTTTACAGAGCCCTCTATCCTGGACAATGGGGAAAGTAATCCAATTATCCAGGGATAGAGGCAGACTCCATTAACCACATGTTAGCAAAAGACACAAAAAGACACAAAAATACATAACTCCTATTGAACTGAACAGAACCCCCACATTCAACCTATCCCCAGATGGCTTGGATCTGAGCGCTCAATATATCCAAACAGCGCTCAGATCCCACAAATACAGTCAAATCGCCATACACACCAGGTCCATAGTCATGGGGCAGAAGGCTGGCAATTAGGCTTCTCCATAACACAGGGAA